GTATTTCTTGCAGATATTCCAGTGCACCATTGTTGCTACTTTGTCATGCCGTTGTTTGTAGTCAGTCTGTGCGATCTTCTTGCAGCAGCTAATTAGGTGGTCCCGTTTCTTCAGCTTATTATTATTATTAAACTTGATTTATTATTATTATTATTTATAGAAAGTACTATTGTTAAAAAATCCCCTTTCTCCCTGTATTCCCTTGAGTTGTCTCTCTTGCTGCCCTAAAGGGTCCCAGGGTTGCAGAGCAAATTTTCAGGAGGCATACAAGGCTGTGGGATGAGGAAGAGTTGTAAAAATCATATTTTTTTCTTCTTTCTCCAACATGGGTGGAGTTCCTCTGAGCACCACACTGGAGTCAATTTAGTATTGACAATGAAAATAGCAAGCTTGCTATTAAGAGTTTCAAATTATTCTGTTCTGTTCTGTTCCATTTTCTTTTAAGAATGCTATTAAGAATCCTTTGATCTATAAAAATATTACAGTGATAATCTGAACTTGTCTTTGGACAGAAACTCAGAAGCCTGTAATCCCAGAAACATGTTGAATGGTAATGGCAACCAGTAATTTTTGGGTGCAGTGACTGGTGCTTTCTGTCTCACTAGAGTGTAATATACTGTAATGCTGTACACAATTCAAATCAAATCTTTGTTATGGTCATAGACCAGCATAAATGCTGTATACAGGTTTGAGAAATCCACATTCAGATCATTTTGCTGTTCTTTGTTTTGCACAGATTCTCTACCAGACAGTGATAGGGTTAAAGAAGGATTTATCTGGTGTTCAGAAGGTAAGATGGTGATACTTCAGGATTATGTTCTTCAGGAATATTCAGACGATAGACAGATTATGGTTAAACCTTTCCTGACTGGAGTCTGGATTCAGGATCATGCTAAGACTAACCACAGTATGGCTTAAAATGATGTGCAGATGCAATCAGAGTTTGTCAGTCTAGACATATGTCTAGCTATATTTAATTCTTTAACCATGATTTGGCAGAACTGGAATAAGCTTGCTAGTTACCTGCCTACAACTGTAACATAAACTTTAATTGACAGCTGTGCATTGGATCTTCTTCCTGGTCTCCAACTTTCTTGACAAATGGTTCTGTTGCTACATGATTCTACAGTTAAAAACTGTTCAACCGTTTAAAGCTGTTTTGCTGCCAAAATATCTCTGGTCTTTATGTCAATAATATTGATAACATTTTCTTTCTCCTCTGTACAATTAGGATTTTGATTCATAAAAATGCACTGCCTTTGCACCATATTTTTCTAATCTAATCTAATTTTACCTCATCAAGGCTTTGAAAGCATGATAAATTTCTAAATTCTCCATATATGTTTATTACAGAATAGGATTATGAGATCAAATAAAATCCCATGTGTGGGGCAATTTGAATTTATAGAAAAATTTTGTTAGATCTGTTATTGGTTCATTCAAACTTATAGATTGTCTTTTGATAGCCCCTGAATTTTTAAAAGCCAACTTAGAGAACCTTCCCCATCAGGAGTTCTTTGCATGTCTTGGACTTCAACTTCCAGTAATATTCACCTATCAGGGGATGCTGTGAAGTTCATGTATCCAGAGGATCTCTGACTGAGGACAAGGCTGAAGAAAAATGAATCTCCTGGTTTGTTGTAGGTGCCTGCTCTCCTTGAAAATAAGAATGAGGCAGAATCTGATGATGATGATGATGATGATGATGATGATAGTTCTGACAATTCAGAGTCATGTTGTAAAGAACAAGAAGACTCAGGGCATCCTAAAGACCAACCTGCTGAAACAGGTGTTGATAAAAAGGTTAGTGGGACAGCTTTCTTCAGTTGGAGAAAATGTTTTTGCATGAAGGGGAGGCTGTTCTAAGTGCCATATTCATTGTTATATAAATAGCCTTGCTGTTATTTTGTTCTCTAAAACAGAAGAAGTTGGTCAATTTAGTTTCTCACTTCGGTCTGATAAATTACTTTGGCTTCACTTCCCTTTTGCAGGAAAGGAAGAAAATGATCAAAGAGGCTCAAAGAGAGAAGAGAAAACATAAGATTCCAAAGCATGTAAAGAAGCGAAAAGAGAAGATTGCAAAAATGAAAAAGGGCAAATAAATTCTAGTGATCGTTTTTAAAGCTTTTCATGATTTAATGAGTCACTATTTTGGAGCAGAGTCCATTTTGATGCATATCAACAGAGCGCCACGATGGGGTAAACTGTTACCAGATTGACTTGCTCTTGTGTGCTCCTGCAGAGTCAATAGCTCCCACTAAGAATATATTCCTGTGGAGAAATGAAAACAGTTTCATAAAGATTTTTTTAAAAATCCAGAGAAATTGATACAACATACAATTTTGTACTTTGGAGGTCTGAGGATTCATAATGGCACCAAATTGTACACTAATTCCTTTCTGGTTTCATCATCAATTGCTATTTGGGTAGATTGACATACATATGTAAATAATGTATGGGATGGGTAGATGTAGTCTCATTCATTTAAGCCAGGGATGTGCAACGGATGGCCCTGCAGACATTGAACTGCACCGCCTAAAATCTGTCTTTCCATGCTGATGAAGGCTGATGGGAATTGGAGTTCAGCAACACCTAGAAGACTGTAAGTAGTCTGTTTGTGATGAAAACTCTCCATTCTGTTGCAGTGCTGAAGATTCTCTTTGTTACACTGATCATTCATAAGACAAAGACTCAATGAGGTGTTTGCTGACAAAAATGTTCCTTCTCATCCTGCCCATCTGCAGCATTGACACTATATTTGGAAGGGGGAGGGGTGCAGAGGAAAGCCACACTTATAAATAAGGTGGTTTTTGTCAATCTCAGCTCTATCTTGTGGTATAGTGCTCCATGTGTTACCTCGTTGATTCTATTTGTCAGTTGGTCTTGCCGGTTTGGCTGTGTGGTAGGGGAACTCAGTAGGGTCCTGTTCCCTAGGTAGCAAATTAACAGATTTCTCCTTCTCTTTCTTGGAAATGTGATCTATCTTTCTTCATTGTGAAAGTCTATGAGTAGAGTGACCCTTACGTGATAAAGAGAATACTTCTGTAACTGTTCCTGATTTGAACTCCATCTCCTTCACTGTGGTGTGAAGCACTGTAAGGATACTTACAACCTAAGATGACACCAGAGACAAATAATTCATATTTATTGTAACTATTTTTTTTTAAGCTGAAATCAGGGTCAATGACCTGGCAGTACCATCTTCTTCAGAAGATATTTCTGTTAATGAGGTAACTGAACTTTACCAAACTGAGTTTGCCCTGATTAAAAACTACAAACTACAATTCTTGGCTCAGATGTTTAAGGAGCAGCAGTGTTTTAACAGCTGTTAGTGATATATATCCATTACCAGTGGTGCCATTTTCTTTGAAAATAAAACTCAGACATTCTGCACTATGTTGTATGTGGATTTTTAACAAAATCTACCACTCTCTGCCCAGTTGTCTAGGAATAAACAGTATATTTGACAGTACTTTATCCATTTTTAAAAAGCTTGAATCACTTGGTTTGAGAGTAAAAAAGGGGGACTGTGGCATTCTAGATGTTGAACCAATACCCAGGACCCCAGCATAGCCAATTCAAAGAAATGCTGACAATTACTTCACCAGTATCTGGTTCCCCACCTATTTTAGAAAGTTAGGGTAATATAATTGTGGTGTCAAACAAATACCAGTAGTATGAAACTTATGACAAAGAACATTACTTCAAGACATTGAGCTATGGTGTTTTATAATAGATGACTGTTAAGCTTATTAAATATAGTCTATCTAGAGTTTCTTGGTTTAAACTGTCCATTTATTCCAGAACTATTGCAGCATATTTTATATGACTGTTCTGAGCTTAATGCTTTATCCATTTTTCTGTTTCAAGGGTACATGATGTAGCTTTTGAATAAGTATCTAATTTGCAGAACAATATATAGGAATACTGTATCCAGACTACAAAATTCCAGAGGCCCACTTGATGGCAGCAAAGAGATATGGACACCATAATTTCCTGCCATCTAATGATGCTCTGATTTTTGCAGTCCAGATATAGCATGCATATAATATAAGATCTTCACCAGGGACATCTTTCCAATTCAATATTTTGATCAATTTTCATATTTGGTTCATTTTACTGGCCGAGTCCTTCACAAAATAGAGCATATACGTCTATGATGATCGTCAATCATATATAATTCGCACATGTATTAATGCCACTAAATTGCCAAAGTAGAATGTCTCCTCTTAATAGTTAGCCTCTGCTGGTAGTAATTCTGCTAAATTTCTTAACTGAATGAGATTGGATCATACAGCAGGGTGATCACTCCCCCTTATCAGCAGATTGCTTCTTGCCTCTGTTATTGTTCTGCCTTCCCTCTTTCAGTTTATAATTATTCTTAGGCTGGCTTCAGATACTATACTAAATCATGGCAGGGGGGAGAGTTAACCATGATTTGACAAGATGTAATCAGGCTGGTTCATACATAATGCTAAGCAATAAATTGTGATTTACAAACCATAATAGGACTGTACACAAAATAAAACATTTTGTTCTGTATTCAGAATAAAACTACTGCATTCAAACTGTTCAGTCTGGTATGCTTCGTGCACCCCTGCACAATTCCATGTATACCTATTGCTTTGTACCTATTTGCATCCATTATTTTTTCCATGGATCTCCCGTTTTGTATATGAGAAAGGATTAGATTAAGACAAAGTGAACTTTGCAGTTTAAAGAACACAAATAAAAGGAATTAATAGAGATTAATGTCAGGATGATTTTTATCCTTCCCGAGGGACGGGTAGTCCCTTTGTTGCAAGGATACCAGAACGAATGTGCTTGCATTATTTACTAGCCATACATATATTTTTTAACCTGATCCACTGCTCTTCACAGTAAGCTGGTGATCTTCAGAGAAACAGCAGATGGAGCCTTTGTCATCTTTTCATTAGGCTGCTGTTGAGTGAACTCCCAAAGAGTTGAGACTGGACTAACAGTGTCTGCTTTAATCGCAGAACATTTTCTTCAGATTGCAGCGTTTCCACAATCTGCCCCCCTTTCCCCATCCAGAGCCAGCATGCCAAGGCCAGGTTTGGTGGAAGCAATGGACTGAGGAACCTTATGGGCACTTAGTTGGGAGTAACACACTGAAACACACCCTTCAGAAGTTATGCACAGGATTGTGCTGATGATATTTTTTAACAAGTGGTCAAATGTTTTCTAGTATTACTTTCCAGAGAATGCCCTGGGAAAATCTGTGAATGTGTAAATGATTCCTTCCATGTGAGAAAGTGAAGAATCATCACATTCCTTATGTGTTAGGTGAGAAAGGAAATTGGACCCAAATCAGAAGATTTAGAAGCAGAGATTGAGATTGCTTCACAATCTTGTCTGAACTAGCAAACTTATCTACAAAGATAGACTATTCCTCCTTCATTTGTTTCACAAGGAGCTAGCTCTGAAGAAAGGCAGTCTCTAGCTGAGCAGACGAAGAAAAAAGGCTTTTAGAGAGAGATCAGATTTGTTGTGTGCATTATGAACTTTTGTAACATCTAGTCTTATTTCCCTTTTTAAAAGGGCTACATGTGAAACTTTACTGGGTGCTCAGCTTCATTCTTCTGTTTAGAAAAGGAGGCTACTGGAGTGTTTTGGTTTGTTTAATTAGCAAAGTGTATTGAGACATTTAGCTATCTATGGTGTTCCTTTGCCCCAAATTCCACATAAGAAATTACTTGGATTGCTAATGGGTCCTGTTTTGACATTTTCAATTGGGCAGAGTCCCTCAACACACCTAGAAGCATTAGTTTAGGTGGCACATTCATATGTCATAGGCAGTTCTGATGTCGCACCTCACTGCTTCCTCCTGCCAGTTCAAAATATCTGAATCAGATTGCTTATTTCATTAAAGCATTATAGAATGTACAACATTAATTTAGTCAAAGCATACTTAATTGGAGCTAGGTAATCCTAAGCAAGTATTTTTCTCATAGTGCATACATGCTGTGCTCTACCCAACATTCTTTGCATCTAGGAGTTTGCATTTGGAATTGGCAAATGGTCATCGACATAGTGTAAGGATTCTTGATTAGTTCTTGGGCCTTGCAAATTCAGGAGCTGGGTGGACCTACTGTGATGTGTCATGATTAGCTGAACCAGCCAGAGCTGCCTGGTTCATATGCATGGTTTAAGGATCAAAATGGCCAGATTTGTACTTTGTACTATGCCAGGACCAAACAAATCACATTACGACTAAGCCCAATCTTTGAACCAAATGAAATACCTGGTTTCCAAATACTCAAAATTCAGCAATTTTTGTACAGGCACAGACAATCTTAAGGGAGGAAAGTTCTGCATATTATATTAATATGCAGAACTAGACCTACTTAGAAAACACGAATGATGAGTGCTATGACAGAAATGATGTAGGATAGTAGGAAGCATATTCAGAGTAAGAATGGGTGGCAGGGAGCAATATTACTAATTTGCTTTCTAGTAAATGGATGCTTTGTAACTGATCACACCTAATTTGGCAACCATTTTGTGAACAGGCACTCTTAAGTAGATATTTCATGACAGTGCCCATAATTTGCTCTTAAAATACTAAATGTACCCATCAACAACCAAAGAGATTACCTACCTGTACTTTGAGTATGTATTTGGCTTTTGATACATGCACTGTTCCTCATCTGCCACAGTGCTTATGTTTCTTTCTGGGTTAGGCTAGAGTGCTGTACCCAGTGGACAGCCTTTGATGTCCTATGGGCCAGATCCATCTCCCAAAGCAACTGTCTTTGGCTCTGGTGGCCCTACCAAATTTTGAGGCATGGCAGAATATTTTGCACAGTTCTTCTTGAAAGGAAACATAGTAGTGGGTCTTGCCATGCATAATAGTTGCCCATATTAGCAAAGTGGACACTAAGCTCGTTGATATACTGACATCAAAACTGGGGAGCATCATAGTAAGAAGGAATTGATATCCATCATAGAAGACTTGCAAAAAACAAATACTTCCCAAATCCCCAAATTGGTGGAATCAAGAATTACATGTGTACCTGTGTACAATGATTTTCTTGCTTCTATAGCACAGGAGTGTGTGTGTGTGTGTGTGTGAAAGAGAAAGGAACTGGTTTTAAAGAATACACAGGCCTTGACCTATTAATCTTTTGTAGAGCTAAGAAGACCTGACCTTTGTCCTATGTATTGGGCCAGGATGGTAACTCAGCCCATTCTGCTGTGAGAATGAGTGCTTGTTATGCTTCACCTCAGCTATGCGTGTAACTCTGCTTTGTTGTGTTGGTTTTGTGTTTTATTTGGATTGGTTTTTACTTTTATTGATGTATGCTTCTCAGATTCATAAGTTGTGATCTGGACAGCCTTAGAAATTCAGTCAAGAAGGAAAGAAGAGATATTGGGTTTTGCGCAGTCCAGAAGATGAGGAAATAAGAAATAAGCACTGAGCCTGTTCTCATCCCTTCATTACAAATTACATCCGATATAATTTTCACCATTGCATGGTTGTTAAAGGTGTCATATTTATCCAAGAATTATTGAACTTTCTCGTTTTCCATGCATCTGAGATGCCTTTTATTATAAAGCACAAGGATGCAAATTATTTTAATCCAATTCTGTGAATTGCACTGGAGGAATGAACATGCCAGGAACTGTATCCAGTTGGAGCTGGGAATGTCACTAGACTGGAACAAAGTACTGTATGGAAGACCAACCACTTTGAAGGACTTAAAACGGCTCTGGACAGAAAGCAATACTGTTGAATTGGAGCTTCAAAATGCTACCATAAGTACATTTGCAACAGACTGGGATGGGTAGAGAATAAAGTTGTCCCTCCCTGCCCTCAAGAAAAGGTGGGCAGACCATACTGGTGGTGGAGCAAGCAGGAAGAGTGGATGTGCTATTTGCATTTGGAGAGCCACATGTTTCCTACTCCTGAGAAATAGCAGAGGACATGTTATCATAATGATTAATCATCAACCAAAAGGCAAAATACACAAAATAAAATGTAACAGTTTGAAAGAAGCGGGAAAGTGCCCTGAGTATATTAAGTACAACGGTACCTTATTCTGGTACCTAAATATGATTAGTTTAGAAAACCTGGCTGTTTAGGATGCTTATTGGCTAATGATGATATCAAGCATTTACACTTCTTGTGTCTTATAACCAGATTAATATTTAAATATTATAATTTTTAAATAATTAAATAATTTTAAAGAGAAAGACTGATTTGCAAATGTACAAGTGAATGAAGTTGATCTCTACCGCTTATCAGTTTTTTAAAAATTCAGAAACAAGACAAAATTGCTACCATCCTCCTACAGACATATGCACTCATTTCCAAAATATATTGTGTACATTTGTCTGGCAGCTTGAAAAAAACAAAGCAAGCAGTTGATAGAAAAGGGTTGCTACAGAATGCTGTGCCATCATTCCTCTGTTGCATTTAAAAGCCTATTGCTAGCTGTGATGATGAAAGGATAGCATGCTGGCTATTTTGCAATGAGTTGTGGCTTTCAGTAGATCTAAGTATGGTTGTATGTTGTTAGGGTTGCCAACAACAACTAGAAAACTAGCTAGAAAATAGAGAGCTTTGGAAACATCCAGACACACACCAGGAATGGGGTACTGAAGGTGACTCATGGGGTAGGGAAGAGAAACAATCCTGCAGCAGCAAAAATCTCTACACAAAAAGGGGGAAAATAGATTGTTGCCAATACACCTCTACATGGGAGTCATAAAAAAAAGAAGAAACCCTCCCAACAACAGCCTAGTGCTTTACAGTTGGCAGGTTCCCTGTGATGAGAAAGAAAACTCTCTGAATTCTTGCCAGGTCCCATCATGTGGACTATTGTGGGTGCAGGCATAACTCCATGCGCTCACCATCAAACAGCTCAGATCCATCATGATTGTATTGCAAAGTAGAATCAGTAATGTGCTGATCATCTGCAAAATAGTTTGAGCAACTGCTGTGAGGGGACCGGTGGAGTCTCAAGCCACTTTCCCCCTATAAGGACTTGTGGACAGAATCCTGAACTGGAGAGCTAAAAAATGAAGCGAGAGGCAAGAAATCACCTCAACAGGAAAATAGAACTTCACAAGCTCTTCAGAGGTTCATAACTGCAAACAGGAATGCAGCTTTCTTACAGTTTTGGATACACTACAGCTTAGACAGAATAAATCAAGGTGGTTGCTGAATACAGAAGAAGACATGGAAACACAAAGGTGTGGAGATGATTCTGGAGTGATGCAGAGTCAGAGAGCCCTTTTCTTAGTGCCACTGCTCATCTTCTTTTAAGCTCCTTGGTTGCACAAGCAGCTGTGCTGAGAACTACATGCAGTTCTTTTAAGTAATAGGTTTCCCCATCTGTAATGTTTCACTCACAGTTTCATCAGAACACCAGGTGTAGGTGTGCCCCAAGCTATGTTAATTGCGGGAATTAAAATTGCTACCTAAGTGGTTCTGGCAGCACCAGATGAGCTGGTAGAGCAGCTCTGGACAAGGTGTGCCCTGTATCATGCTTATCGTATGGCCTGTGAAGATTCTGATTTATGAAAAGCATTCAACTGCATCAGGGTTGACTGGGAATAACTTTGAAAATTCAGATAATAATGGAAATCTTCCTGGAAACAAAACATTAAGGACTCACTTTCCCTAAATGGGCCATGACCATACATGGTAATATTTTTTTGCCATATTCTCATGATGTTGCCTTCATCTCATTCCTAGTCCATCAGTGAGGCAGCTTAAA